AATGAGACTGCACATATAATTAATTTTGAAGGGCTTAGCACCATACCTTGGCACACAGCACAGGATCAGTGAATGTTCCTCTGCCCTCTCTCCCCTTTTAAGGAGAATTTCTAGGCAAAGGTTTTAGAGGCCTGGCTGTATGAAGATTCAGGTAGGTAGGTAAAATGGTAGAGTAGCCAGTTCTACTAAAGCTCTGGGTATCCCCATTACATCAATGATGCCCATGCTATTTTTAGAGACTATGAAAACAGTCTGGTCAATTTCTACTGCAGTCTTAAAGACAGTATTCCTTAACCATACCTAACCATAAGCAATTTGGCCATGTGGAAAATATTCATGATCACAATGAAGTTGTCTCGAATGAATGAACTGAATATAAAATGAATGAATAACTGAGTACAAACAATATTCTATGGACTGGGGGAAGGCCATTTTCACATCGTAACATCACTGTTTTCCTGGAATCTGGCCCTTGGATCAGATGCTCTCCAAAACGTGTGCCACTCTCCCCACCCCCCACCCCCTGCAGCCTAATGTCCACAACCCTCCAGAACAGCACTTCTGACACCAGAAGCAGAGAGCAAAGACGATGAAATCAGCAGGTGCCCCCCCACTGTGCACCAGACATTCTGGAACAGATAAAGTCATTAAGGACAATTTTAACAATGCATAACCTTTCAGCTTTACTCTGCTCACAGCAGGTAGCCTGCCTTTTAGAGACACAAGCCCACAATGAAGTCACCAGTGAGCAGGACCTGACCTTCATTTTCAGTGTGTGCAACGTTAAATATTCATAATCCACCTAACTGCAACACAAGAAATAGTGGAATTTAAACACGAATCGAAGGAATAAATATCTTCACACAGGTTGAGTCATCTTTCCAAGAATGCCCTTGGAAAAAATGCAAATACCCAGGCCCCTGAGTCTCAGCCTCAGTTCCCTTGGAATTCCAGAAGCAGCAGGAACTTATACATTATGCAATCCGTGGATCCTGCCCTCACACTGACATCTTTGGGTCTTTTCTTTTTAGAGAAGAATTACTGTTCCCATGTCAAAGGGAGGAACTAGACAGGGATGGGGCCAGCAACAGTGACATTATCACCCACGGGATGTCCAGGGGCACTTTTGACTATGTTGTACAATTTTTTAAAAAATCTTTGCTTCACAGATGATCAGAGTGTGTAGGAGGAGTAAAAGGGGTGTGGGTATGGAGAGACATCAGAATTAGGAGCTGAAGCGCCTTAAATCAGGTACCCTTTAAAAAAATTAAAGTCGTTAACAGACTCAATCCTAAGAGTGTTCATCACAAGGAAGAAAAATGGCTTTTCTTTAACTTTGTATCTATATGAGATCATGGGTGTTCACTAAACTTATTGGGGTAACTGTTTTGTGACGTACATTAAGTCAAATCATTATGCTGTACACCTTAACTTACCCAGGGCTGTGTGTCAATCATAGCTCAGTAAAACTAGGAGGAGAAAAAGGAGGAAAAAGAAATGGGGTTCTCTGGGACAGTATCTGCCTTGTGTGGCCATTTAACGTTTTGCGGGGGGGAGTGGAATTACTGTGTGCGGTGGGCTTAATGCTTCTCTGTGTCTGTTAAGGAACTGACATCTGTGTCCGTCCAATCGTTGGGTGGAACTATCTCCCTCTTCTTGGGTGGTTTCTTAAGAGACTGCTGCTGGGGTGATGAAACATAATGTTAGCATAGTTTCATGTAATTCTCTTTGGCTTTCCAGACCAGGAGCTCTGAGCACAATCTGTCTCAAGCAGATAGTAATCAGCTGAGGCTGCACAAGTGATTCTTCTGTGATGACCACTCGAAGAAAATTAAACCCAAAGAAGGGCTTCTCAAACCCCTGAATGAAAAAGACCTGTTTGGGGATCCATCTTGGCTTAACAATGGAAAAGGAAAGAAGGGTAGAAGTCGTCTTTGCAAATGACTTACCCACTGCCTCTTGATGGTGAAATAAGCTTTGAAAGGTTAAGAAGATCATAAACTCACCGATGATGACATTTATCTGAACTGCCTGTTTATTCATACCACCTGCACTGACTGTCCTGCCTTGACACCGAGTCAGCCACAATGGAAAACGGAGCCTGTTTTCTATGTTAACATGTGTTTCTTGTGCAATCGAAAGGGCCAGGTGCAGAGAGCCAAACATCTTGAACTTGAGCACCCCTACCATTTTGGTTAAAACTCACTCAGACAAGCCATTTCATGGACCATTGTCTGCCCAATTAGGTTCACACAAAGGAGAGTCTATGCATTGTCTTTCATTTACTTGAAGGGTATAAATACTATAACTGAAATTCATCTGAAGAATACGAGGCACTTTTTTCCAGGGTGATGATTTCGCGTAACTTCCAAGAGATGCTTAAAGCTCTCCTTCCAAGATGCCCAGATGGCCAGCCAAACCACAAGTGTGTAAAACCGGTGACAGTCTTGAATGAAAGGGATGCATTTTAAGAATTTATATTCTGCTTTCTTACTCGCTTTTCACTTGCATCTTATATGTGTATAGAACTTTTTATCTTGTTTACTATGCTTAATTATAATTTGTCTAATGGACTTTCTTTTTATTCTTGGGAATGAATCTGTGGCTTATCATGGAGGTTACCTTATAGCTTTCTGCTTTAATTCATCCCCCTACATACAGGGAGCATCTTTACTGACTTTCCCCAGGAAGAGAGCAGACCCTTGGTATCGACTATATTGATGAGGTCACCCATAGACAGACTCCTGAGGTTTGACTTCAGAACCCAATGCAGTAATTCCAATGAAAAGTAGAAAGAGCTACACAAATAAACATAAGATTGTCTTATAAACAAAGCCTCGCTATGCCAAACCACACAGTTTAGTGACAGAGAAGAAAGACTGAAGTTAGGATGAGGCTAAAATAGTCCCCAGGGAGAGTGAGGACAGTCTTTGTTCTAAGATTCTTGGCATTTTCGCTTGGAAAAACTGAGCACAGAACCAGAGGTCTATCCATGGAATAGACTCTTTGCAAGTCCATGAAGGAAACCAGAACCAAAGACGGTTCCCAGGGCTGGCTTTCCCAGGCTCAGCAGAATCACAGCTAAATCCAAAGGACACTGAGGTGCTGCAGGGGGCATGCAGGAAAGAAGGCTTTGTCTTGGGGAATTCTATTCCCTTCCATCCTCTCACATGGAACTGAGAACACCACACCCAGCAGAGCAAAAGACCAGTCCACAGTGGACATTGTAAACAAGGACACAATTCAAATCCATTTTACAAGAGCATTTTATTTCTGAGAAATACAGAGGAGCAAAAAAGGAGAGACAAGGAAAGAAGGCGTCAAGGTCCTTCTGACCGATCACCCCATTCACTTCTACATAAGTGTTTGTCTGTCTGGGGCTCACAGACTACATGCCTGAAACTACTTCCTGAGCCCTGGCACGGAAGCTGACACAGTATGCACTCCAAGACTTTTGAGAACACTCCTCAGCCCTGGGGGAGAAAATGGAGAAATAAGACAAGCGGCTCTAGAAGATATTCAGTTCAATTCAAATATGATCCAGAATTATGAAGAGGAGATATTTAAATAAGGCTTACCTTCAATGACATACCAGTTGGAGTTTTCCAAACTTAAAAAGCTCTTTTCCTCTTGGCCAGGAAGAGCTGATGGAAAAGTGCATGGAATCTCAATCCTGGAGGACATTTAAGAGTCCACCTGTGGTGGGCGAGGGCAGTCCAGCCTTGTGCATGGGGATGGACTGAAGGACCGCTGATATTCTACACATGGCCAATTCCCAGAGACAGGTGATGAGAGGAGATGTTTTCTTTATCTTCCCTGACATGATTTTGGCTCAGCACCCAAATGCACAAAATCCTTTGGCTGGTGACCAGTAACTGAGAAATTCAGAGTTTAGGCATGCATGAAATTACTACCATCCTGAGCCACAGAAAAAGAACACTAAGCTCAGGATTCAGGCACACCAGACTCTGAGCCAAAACGGACACCAAGTGGGTTTCCTCAGATCAAACTCTAGCACCGAGGTGTACTAGGCTGAGAGTTCAGGGAATCAAAAACACTCTCACAGTGGGCAATGCCGACAAAGAGCCTAAGGCCACCATCAGGTGTCAGGTTCATATCCCCACCAAAGGGAGTCAAACCAGCTCAGCTCCAGTTTCCCAGATGCTGTCAATTTCAAGCCTGTGACTGAATAGTTACAACAAATGATATACCAGTGGGGGTGGGGGTGACACCTGCAGGAACCAGGGCAGCAGTGGCCACCACTGAGCACCTTTGCTCAGGGCCCTCTTCTGCCTCAAACAAAACCTTTTCTGTGTGTGACACAGACAGACCCCACCCAGAGCACCAGTTCCCTCAGCTGGCACCCCAGGCATCTGCCTGAGTGTCCACTCTAGGAATTCTCAGATAGCCATGGGCCTCCACTCTGGGAGTTATTACAAACTCCTCTGTCCTATGTCCTTACCTTCACAAGTCAAGAAGCACCAGCCAGCGATGCTTCAGTTGAATATTCAACTACCAGCGCAAAGGAGAGCATCATGCTTTCTAAGTTGACCTCCAATAAGAGTAAAGCATTGGCAACCCTAATAGAAAAGGATTCCAAACTGCCATGGCAAGCATGGCTCACACCCTCACTGGTTGGACACCATGACCCTCTCAGAGGTTGCAATTTCACATCAGAGCCCTCTTGACTTCTTTCTACCTTCAGGGCAAATACTGCACCAGGAAATAGCTATTTTAAAAGCAGTAACAGCCGGCGAAAAAGCTTGATGACCCCAGATTCCTCTCTCACCCTCCTAGGACAGTCTAATCAAGGTAGTCTTTCTCATGAGAGCTTGCTTTCCCATTCAGAAAATTAACACAGACAGTCCTGCCTTCCTCCAAAAGTCTTCCACACTCAAAGAGGCTCTTGCAAAGGCTGGTGTTAAAGTAAATCAACTGACCAATGTAAAAGTTTGTGATTGTTTTAGAAAAGAGGGCAAGAAAACATATTGAATACTCACTTTGACGAATCTATGAAGTATATTACAAGTGCACCAATGCTGAGAGCAAAGACTAAGACAACCTGCAAAAGAAGAGAAAAATGCCATCACTTAAGAGCTGAACACTGGGATGTCTACTTATTTATTTTGTGGAACACCCACCCGCGGCCTGGAAACATGGTGCTTTCAGGGGCCTGTTGGCAGTGTCGTCCCCTTGCTGCACCCACAGACACACCCCTGCTGTTGGCTCCTCACATCACAGCGGACAGCAACCTCGCCGCTGGCCAACAGAGGTCAGGGCAGACTTCTGTATCCCCTGGCACCAGGTTGGTCTGGCCCTGTTATCTCAAAGTCTGACTTCTCCACAGCTGAAGTCAACAGACTTCAGTGGGAAAAGAGCAGGCAAAAACAAATGCAGTGATACAATGTTTCCTATTATATGTAACCTAGGCCCCAAAGGAACTCAAAGATAGGGATATCAACTTTTAACAGCTTTGCTGAGATAGTTTACATACCATAAACACGCCCATTTTTAGTGTGCAATTCAATAACTTTGAGTAAATTTACCAAGTTGTGCAGCCAGTACTTCATCTACTTTCAGAACATTTTCAACAGCCCAGTAAGATCCCTCATGTCCATTACAGTTAATACCTGTTCCTACCCCCAATCCTAAGTGCAGTGAAAGTGTTAGTCACCTAGTCCTGTCCAACTCTTTACAACCCCATGGTTGTCCATGGAATTCATTAGGCAAGAATACTATAGTGGGTTGCCATTCCTTTCTCCAGGGGATCTTCCCGACTTGGGGGTCAAAAACGGGCCTTCCGCATCGCAGGCAGACTCCTTATCATCTGGGCTACCAGGGAAGCCCAATCCTCAACAAACAATAATTTACTAACCAAAAAAACAAAAGTAAAACAAAAAAAATAATAATTTACTAACTTACTTCCAGTTTCTATACAAGAAATTTTAGTCAAAAAGCACAAATTTGGTGTCTGTACAAATGTCGATACATGTGTGCTCGTGTGCATGCATATTTATATTCACTGCCTGTGTGTGTGTGTGTGTGTGCGTGTGTGTGGTTATACGACTTCTCAAGTATTCTGGAGATAGTTCAGGTGCAGGAAGCCAAATTAGGTAATATGATCGGCCAGGTATATGACAACACTTGTTCTTCTTTATACTCTTCACTCAAAATTAATCACCATGGATACAAAAGACAGTTTTGGCATCTCCTTCAAAGAATACCTGTCACGCTAAAGTCTATCAAATGAATATGTAGCAGATGAGGCTGATGCTGTGCTTCTGTCCTCACTCAACATTTGAATTTATTTATTCTTTCATAAACGAGACTAGGAGTGCAACTAAAAGGATGTACAAAAATAAAAAAGATGCCAAGAGCCAACAATGAAGTTTGAGAACAAAAAATAAACAACACCATCACATACAATGCTTGAAGTGGGGGTGGGGGTGGGGTGTGAAATAAGTACCTGGCAGATGTGTTAATATCCTAAAGGGACTGTGGGGTGAAGGGTGTCAAGAGGTGTCAGCCTCCTCAGCCTATCTACAAATTGACATCCCTGTAGCATTAGCTGGTGGATAGATGTGAATCTCGATTTACGTGATGATGAAACATAATTGAGTCATGTGCCTGTGTGTGTGCATGTATGCACGTGTCAATTAGGCTGATAGAAACTGAACTCTGCATACATATTCACTTAAAACATTATAAAATTTTGTGGAGCTATGTCCATTCATTCCATGGATGGTGGGCTACAAAGCAGACAACTGGCAGTTGAAACAACCAGACATTATAAAAGGAGTATGTACTTTCATAGCATCTGAAGAATTCTCTTTATGAAAGGAAGCATTAAAACAATACACTACGTGGGCTAACTTTATTCTTCCATTTTGTTTTCAAAGCTAAAACAGGCTCCAGTTGAATTGAAGGAAACTCCTGCAATCTGTCAGTAATTACCCGTGGCCCAGGGCTAATCCCCCTGCCCCCTCCCTCTGCCCCACCCCTGCCAACAGACTCACTTCAGTCCCCTCACACATTCATTCATTCATTTCTTGCACAGTTATGCATAAAAACAAACAAAAACATCAACGGGCCTCGGCTTTTCCCTCTATTTTCTGAATGAGGCAGCAAAGCAAATAGCTTAAGATTAATTTTGATCTGTGCTTCTATTTCAGAGACATAAGCAGTTGTTAGTTCCGGGCCCTGACCTCATTCTCAAAATGCTGCAAAGAGAAGGGGAGTGGCCACATCAGAGGGGAAGGCCCTCCTCTTCATTCATGAACAGTTGATGCAAGACTAATTTCTATCAATTTGGCTGTGTTTGTGTGTGTATGTGTGTGCGCGCGCGCACACGTCTGTGAGTGCAGAGCTTCTGTCAGAGCAGCTGTCCAGGCCTAGGCCATTAAAGCTGGGGAAAGGATGAGGGGAAAGGATGGGAGAGACAGGAGGAGAGGAAGGAAAGAGGAAAGAAAAAGGAAAAGATAAAATTCTCACAAGTCGTTACCTACATCATTCTGAAATAAGCTCAATATCTAAGCTCTCCTGCAATGGTGATGACTTCCCAGCACCAGGGCAGAGGAGGTGGGGACAAAGTAGCTGACACTAATGTATTCCAGATACCCCAGCTTGGCCTCTGTGATGTGGAAAATGTCTAGCTTATTTAAGCAAATCAGCCAGTGACTGGAGGGGAGCACTCTTGCTAACCTCTTCAGATGCAAACTCCAGTATCAGCATTGCGGTTAGGATCAGGGAGAGAGAAAAATTCAGGAGGAAAAGGACTCAAAAGCTCCCAGGAGCTGAAGATTCTGAGAACTGGACCTATTCCTGGGTCCACATGTTCAGCAGGAAGACTTTTTCTCAATGAGGTTCTGGATGTCCAAGCGGTCCCACCCCCCATCCCCCACCCACCTGCCTCCAGACACAAAATGATCAACGGGGGGAGGATCGAGGATCGGCTTCTCTCTGATCAACTGCCTCTATTGAGGCAACCAAGCATGCAATTTTCAAACTTGTTAAGTGGCTCTTTGTCAGGCTTGATTACACTGTCATCCCAGATCAAGGTGCTGCAGAAAAGGAATCAACCCTTTGGATGTGGCCATGAAAACAGGAACCCAACAGAGATGAATCTTCTCCAGGGCCCTAGCAAAGGGCTCTCTCGCATCTTTCATTGTCTGAGAACCCTACTCTTAATACGAAAAAATTCAGCCCAACTACACAAAATGACTAGGTTTTAGCCTAAGTGGTAATGATTATGTGTGAGAGTACACCCAGATATTCGTCTAAGTATTTATTTCATATTTGCTATGCATAAGGCCTTAGGAAAAATGAAAGAAGCCCACTTAGAATCACAAAATATGCTCTTTTTCTGGATTAACACTTAAATAGATGAATCCTAGGCTGTTATGCAATTAGTGCTCAACTGTACAGTATATGTAGAGTCAATATATAGTAAGATATTGAGTAGGTGGTACAAACATAAATGGAATAGCTAGGGAAGGGTGGAAACAATAGGAGTTCTTGTTTCAATGGCCAAGTCTTTCTCAAGGCTTCCCCTCTTCCCATATGTTATGGCTACTCTCATGTCTCTTCAGTAATGAGGAGCGCCAATGGGAATTCCTCCATGAATTTCTACAGTTCCAGGGATCGGGGCCCTGCAGCCCAAGGGACATGGTAAGATGAGACCAAGAAAAGCACAAAAGCTGAGATCAGAAAACACTTGCCCTTCAGCAGCTGAGTCACCAGAGCGCTCCTTACAGAGATCATGCACTTTACAAAGCACCGGCCCAAACAAGAGTGTGTGGACACAGCCCGACACCCGGCACGAGGTCAGTTGTCCCTCTCGGCATACCCCACGCCTGCCATGAGAGCCCGATCAACCTTGCTAACTTTACAGTCTGTGTTCGCCAAATCACCTTGACTATCTTGCACAGTGCTAATTGCCATATTCTTAGGTTTACTGCAAACGCCCACATGCTGTGTGGTGGTATTGAGTCCTGAGTGCTATTTACATAGCGCCAGATTCCTAAAAACAAAAGCAATCTGATAAATGTCACTGGGACAATAGTGCCTGTGAGTCATCTATTTGCAAAACTCCATGATCAAACATGACGTGTGTTTGCACAGAAGAATGTTAGGAACATACACAAAGAGTGTACCAAAAGAATGTCTGTCCCCTAACACCTGACACCACGGGTCTGATGCTCCATGGGGAGCAAAGAGATGGAAGCCACGGTCATTTTCATGGTGGAAATTCTAGCGGGCCCTGACAACCTTCCAAATGTCTCGGGAAGTTCGGAAAAATGCAAAGCAGTATGACAAAGCACATGGAAAATCCTCCCTCAGGTCACCGGAATTCCCCAAGGAAAAGACAGACCCATGGGTGTGGTATAGAGGAGAATGAAGCTGGAAAGCTGGCTCTTCAGACACATTGTCTGTTCTTGAACCTGGTTTCAAACTGTCAGGTTTAGGCCCAAAAGCTTTGAATCCACACCTGAGGCTACACAGGCCTTCAGACATGGATTTGGAGCAGAGGCTCACAAAGGTGGCTGCCACTCCAATCCAATCACCTGAGGGGTTTTCCTTAAAACAGTGATGCCCTCACATCACCCAGGGAACAGAGGGTTGATAGCTGGGGGGAGGAGGAAGCTGGGTATCTCTATTTTTAACAAGCTCCTCCAGTGAATCTGATGTGTGGCCAAGAATGGGAGTCACTGAATTAAACCCATTAGGGAAAACCACTTAGCTCAAGTCAGAGATTAATTTACAAATGTCCCCTTAACAATTAGCCCATTAGAACATATGTATGAGGCCTGAAGGCTTTGAGAATCGTGCAAGGAGTACTCTAAAAAGTAGAGAGAAGAGAATGCATTAATTCTCTCCTGAGCAGATTTTACACATTCTGCTCAGCTCATGGCAGAACAAATGACCCTAATTAATGATTCTGCATGTCTGATAGGGTCCTAGCCAGCTACTGCAGCAGCGACCCCTCAGAAAATGAACAATTTTAGATACAGTATCCCAAAGGCACATTATTTTTTTTATTATGGAGGTATAACTTATACACAA